AGTGGACTGTCAGTCTGTCCAACACGTAGACCAGTGGACTGTCAGTCTGTCCAACACGTAGACCAGTGGACTGTCAATCTGTCCAACACGTAGACCAGTGGACTGTCAGTCTGTCCAACATGTAGACCAGTGGACTGTCAGTCATTCCAACATGTAGACCAGTGGACTGTCAGTCATTCCAACATGTAGACCAGTAGACTGTCAGTCATTCCAACATGTAGACCAGTAGACTGTCAGTCTGTCCAACATGTAGACCAGTGGACTGTCAGTCTGTCCAACATGGATCTGATGTTTGGCTCCATGATTTCAGTCTGATGTGTCATTCAGATATTTTTCTGTTCCAGCTGCTGGAGGACAACATGATCACTTTTGTGAAGAACGAGCTGGAGAAGATCCAGAAGGTTCTGAGCCCAAATTACCCAGAATGCTTAGAGAGTCAGAGGGAGGATGAGGAGGTGTTGGAGGGTGATGATGAAGAGCAGAGGAGGAGCAGAGAGGCATTGATGAAGATCACAGTTTACTTCCTGAGGAGGATGAAGCAGGAGGAGCTGGCTGACCGTCTGCAGAGCAGTAAGAGGATTTCTATAAACATTTAACTTTTGAGATTTCATTGTTGAGAGGAATTTATTCTTTAATTAATAAATGTATGTATTTTGTTTGTTCAGGACAAGTTGCAGCAGTTTGTCAACGTAACCTTAAAAGTTGTGTGAAGAAGAGGTTCCAGTGTGTGTTTGAGGGGATTGCTAAAGCAGGAAACCCAACCCTTCTGAATGAGATCTACACAGAGCTCTACATCACAGAGGGAGGGACTGGAGAGGTCAATGATGAACATGAGGTCAGACAGATTGAAACAGCATCCAGGAAACCACACACACCAGAAACAACCATCAGACAAGAAGACATCTTTAAACTCCCACCTGGAAGACATGAACCAGTCAGAACAGTGATGACAAAGGGAGTGGCTGGCATTGGGAAAACAATCTTAACACAGAAGTTCACTCTGGACTGGGCTGAAGACAAAGCCAACCAGGACATCCACTTCATGTTTCCATTCACTTTCAGAGAGCTGAACGTGCTGAAAGAGAAGAAGTTCAGCTTGGTGGAACTTGTTCATCACTTCTTTACTGAAACCAAAGAAATGTGCAGCTTTGAAGACTTCCAGCTTGTGTTCATCTTTGATGGTCTGGATGAGTGTCGACTTCCTCTGGACTTCCACAACAATCAGATCCTGACTGATGTTACAGAGTCCACCTCAGTGGATGTGCTGCTGACAAACCTCATCAGGGGGAAACTGCTTCCCTCTGCTCGCCTCTGGATAACCACACGACCTGCAGCAGCCAATCAGATCCCTGCTGAGTGTGTTGGCATGGTGACAGAGGTCAGAGGCTTCACTGACCCACAGAAGGAGGAGTACTTCAGGAAGAGGTTCAGAGATGAGGAGCAGGCCAGCAGGATCATCTCCCACATCAAGACCTCACGAAGCCTCCACATCATGTGCCACATCCCAGTCTTCTGCTGGATCACTGCTACAGTTCTGGAGGACGTGTTGAAAAGCAGAGAGGGAGGAGAGCTGCCCAACACCCTGACTGAGATGTACAT